TCCCTTCACCCATGTGTCACATCACAAAGCTTTGCCCACGAGATCCGTCTCTCATACTGTCCCCTTATACTCATCCCACACCATCAGTCTCCTTGGGCCCCAGTCAGTCCCATCTGTGACACCTTTGCAGCCAGCCTCCCGTCCCTTTGGCAATCTTCTGATAATGTACGTTCCTGTTCAAAACAGTCGATGGACAGAGGCCTCTCTTTGTCCTGCTGGTTCTCCTCAAATTGGTTTCAACCTATTTCCCCCACCCTCCAAAGCCAAAACCCATGCCCAAAGCCACCTGTCACCCTTCCTTGTAAATCTCCTGCTCTGATCACCACAGCTGGCTCAAGCCCCAGGACATCTGTGTGCCTGGCCCAGGTCAACCTTCACCCTCCTGTCAGTCAGGGTGACACTCTCCTTGCAGCCGCCATTCCTGCCTCTCCCTCTGGGACTCTTTAGCGGTTTGCCACCTCCTGTCCTCCTCGTGTACCTGCACTTCCTGAGGACCTCTCTTTCAATCTTGAAGCACCGAGGCCACTGCTGCCAGGCCTCAGTACAATCCAGTAAATGTGAAGTCCTTTCCAAATAGAGCCCCCTGCACATCAATCCCCCTTCTCTATGCCTACCCCATTTTAAGAGTCCAATTTTATAGCTTCACTACATTCCCAAGGATGCCAACGTCATTTATTTAAACAAATAAGCAGATTTTGTGAAGCAAAATTCAAGTATGAGATACCTGGACTCTAACCACCAAGAACACATGGAAAAAAGATTTTTTTAAATGGACAAGTGACCAATATAGACTTTTTCTTGAGAAGGAGGCTGTAGCACATCACCAATGGAATGGCCTAGTAGCTCCGAGGTTGTTGAGTGTCATTAAGGTTTGCCGTGGGTAGGGTGTTCCTGATGGGGTCCCTGCACAGAGCAGCTGACAGGAGGTCAGCCCCTCTGTCTAGCCTGCCCTGCTTCTCTTTTTCTCTAGAGCTCAGAAGTAGAGAGAAAGCAAAGTTTATTTGCAAATCTGCTTGTAATATTTTCAACATTCCATAGCCTCCTTCTCATGTCCCTCATATGCTATAGTTTACTGCATTTCATTTTATGCCCAAGGCTAGATTATTAAGGATTGAATTGGAATTTTCCATTGTGACTGAAACATGAACTTCAGCCCTCATTTTGACATGCTGTTAGGATTTTTTTTTTTTTAAATAAGTTTCTTGACCACTCTACTGGGTGAAATCCTGCAACTGATGTGCGTATACACAGTGCAACAATGGATGTCTCTCTGGTCTTTTCTTCTCAGACTTCCTAACATCAGGATGTGGTAAAGAAGCAAGTCTATGGACATACAACAGACCGAATTACCAGTACTGTACTCCATAAAAGCAATATTTACAAATAATGACTTTGGAAAGAGTTCTTTCCAAATCCCTGAGAACATGGCATTAGCCATGAGGTTTACAGAGTAATTTAGATATATAATTCCTTCTTGTCCCTAATATCTGCTTTTCTATATTTGAGCTCAGTTCTCTCGGTACCAGTAGAGTTGGGAATATGTACTCAGCATAAAGCCAGGTTAGAATGTTTCTTTTACTTAGATACTGGATTGTAACTTGATGATGTCTTTGTACCATAGTCCTTCACCTCACTCATGGTTTGAAAAAGTGTGAGGTGCCTATTGACTCAAATTCATACTGAATGTCTTCATGTGTTAGAGTAGAGGGGTCTCTGGAAGAGACTGTCTCAGGACCCAGAGATGAAGTTAGACTGTTTCTTACTCTGAGAGGCAAGGTTCTTGGTTCCTGGAGATACCTTAGCATCTTTCGGATCAAAAATGGACACATTTTAAGTCATGGTCCAAAGGTTCAAAGTACCCCTTGTGTGGCCTGTTGCTTAGCACAGATGTCCAATTGACTTGTTTCTATGAAGTCTCTCAGGATCCCTACCACTGGTTCCAAATCTGTATTCTGTCCTTAAAACATAAGATAGATTTTTTTTTAAATAAATGAATTAAAAGTTGTGAAGTTTCACTACATTTATGTTAAGATTGGATCAAGGTTAGATTTAGATCAAGACTTCTCTGAATGTTTGTATGGGAACTTCATGGAAATGCACATGTTGCCATGTAACATCAATCATATTAAATTGTGCTTTAAAATATTGAAGTCACTCCATAATGTTATGAAATATTAAAATTAAATATGTCAGGAGACTAGAAAGGGTCTGCTTCATAAATTATGTCAGCTAATTTCTGGTTGGGGGAATGTAGGTCTTGGTGGAATTATGGTGGGTGTTTCAAGTAGCAAAGCTCATTTCCTGTGGGGAGTCCTTCTGACCTCCCATTCCCAGGACTACTGTGCTTTGCCCAAATGACATGGCGAATGCATCCTTGATGTGCTCTGGTGTCTGGGGGTTGGCCTGTGGTCTGAGAATAAAGATCCCTGGTGGGCAGGTCACTTCCCTTCTGTGTGGATGCCTGTCCACAGAACTGCTGCCCTGTGATGTGGCTGTGACCACCTCTGTGTCGTCATTGTCTGAGAAGCAGTCTGGCCCCGACATAAGTAATCTGCTTCTCATACAGGAGAGTTCAGTCGTATCTCCAAATGCAAGAACTATGGGTTGGAGCAAACAAGAGAATACAAATGTCTAGTTACGAGAATGAGTGTGTCCAGCCGTACTCCTCTGCGGCTGACTCTGATTTCTGAGCTTCATTTTTATTTGCTGCTTGTTTCCATGTGTAGGAGTCTTCCTTGAAGAGGGATGCCTTTCACGTACAAATCTTTCATTTATTTACTTATTATTTATTTTAAATTTCTTCCTACAGAGAGAGGAACAAAAGACAGGAAAATCCCTGTTCTGCTGTGGGGGGAAACGATCATGGCAAAACAGAGGGACCCCCCCCCCACCCCCGCCAAAGTCAACCAAGTAATGGAGTCTCCAGCTTTCTATAGGGCTTTTGAAAGCTCCTTGAGCAAACATGGAGCTTTCCAGCTTTTGCCTTGTATCCTATTTCTTGACCAGTAGTTCTGTTTCTCAACAGGATAATGAAAATCACAATAATGAAACAGAAAGTCGTGGCAACTGTAATAAGTTTAAAGGCATATTCTGCTTTTCAAGGGCATCCTGTTTTTTAGTAGAGCTCTTCCATTAGCTAAAGAAATTAAACTGAATCATTCCATCTTTTTTAAGGAAATGATGAATTTAGTCAAGAAGAAAACAAAACTCTGTAGCTAACCTAATTTATGCAAAATCATGCAATTAGTGATGGCTGTGCTAGAATTTTTTTCCCCAAAATGTGCCTCTGATAAAACCCATCGTGAGGAGCAGTGCCATCTAATGTAAGTAGTAAACATGGAGAGTAAATTATTAATATCTGGTGAAGCATGCAGATGGCAGGACTTCCATTTCTTCTTTTGAGTGGCTCGTGTGTGTCTGCCCATCATTCTTGCAAAAAAAAAATGCAAAGATAAATATGAACTTTGAAAAGTAACATTCAACAGGATATGAATGTAATAAATAGCACAATGTGAAAAGTGAAACCTCACTTTACGCCTCTGCAGAGTGAAACGGTGGTTACTTTCTGCTCAATCTGAGTGTAAGCTAAATAAGGTCAGACTATTTTCATATGTGCACTACTGACCAGGGATGGCCATGTCTTGTGATATGAGTGGTATTTTTTAATCAAGTCCCCTGTGTTGTAACCTTGACAGTCCTGCCACTGGGATACGGAAAGTTAATCCCCCAGCAAGTCCTTGTCCAGGGGAAAACCTCTAAGCCGCTGACCTCGACCCTCTGCTGGCCTGAGCTGAGATCTGAAGTGATCACTTGGTCCCTGGCCAAGGCAGGGCTAGCCCAAAGTTCCTTCCCACTCTTGCCAGTTTCACCTCAGGATGCTTCGGAAGAATTTCAGTGCCCAGGCAGACAAGGTCAAATTGAACTGCTTTACTGCTGCTTCTGGCTCAGCCCCCCAGGCCAGACCTGCAGCCCGAGAGGGAAATGGACTGAGTCCTGTTCTGAGGATGAGCAAAAGGCACCCATTTTCTCGCTTATTTACTCCAGGAGTGCCCCTCCTCCCCCACTCTTGGCCTCCCTTGATCACTGACTCAATCTCCCTGTGGCATATTTTGGGTAGTAGAATGTTGAGGTCACAGGATAGGTTTTTTTTTTTTTTTTTTTTTTTAGAGCAGTGGAGATACCAGCCAGGAACCCTGGGCATGAACCAGCAAGATGCAGACTCTTGCTCTTGACTTTGGGCTCCAGGCATGGCCCGGGCCTCTGGCTGGCCCGTGGGCTGCCTCCTCCCTCCTGCTCAGCGCCGGCTCGCCCGCTTGCTAGCTAGCTTGCTCAACCTGCAGCATTGGTTGGGTTCCCACGCCTGTGCCGGTCAGACTCTGGATGTCAGGCATCCGAAAGCCCCGCGGGCGCAGACCCCAGCCCTGCAGCCCCGGGAAGGTGCCAACCCAAGCGAGCCAGTGAGCAGAGGAGACGGGCATTTCACGTGGGTATCTGCCTTTGCTCCTGCTCGCGCCTCCTCAGTGGCCGGCGCCAGGGCCCCTTGGCTCCCACTTATCCCCCCGAAGTTAATCAGCAGTACTTGCTAGTTCGCTTTACTTTGGAAAATACTTAAAAGCCTCCAAACGTTACGGGGAAACGGCCGCCCCCGGGTTCCCCCAGTTGTGCCTGGCTGGGGCTGTCGGGCGCTCACGAGGCTGTGGCGTTTGTCTAGAACCGACATCACAGACACGCAGTCCCGCTCCTCCCTGGCGGTCGCCAAAGTTGCCAGACGCCCCCCAGTCGTGCCAGCTGCAGTTGCATAACCTCGCCCCCTGCCCCCGCCCGCGCCCGACGCCTGCTCTGCTCCCGGCTGAATTGGCGTATCTTGGCCCCGGCGAAGCCGGTTTGGGGGCGAGAAGATGCGCCCGAGCGGGGTCTGCGCCTGTCCCAGCGGCGCTTTGCCCGTGGCCAAGTGCAGCGGGCGCCGGGTGCAGGCGGAGGGCACGCGGGGTTCCGCTTACCTTCCGCTGCTTACAGATAAGTCGAGGTCGGTGCAGCGCCTGGATCGGGCATGTCTCGCCGCGGACCCTGGCAAGCCTGGCGCGACACGGAGCACTCCGGGCAGGGCATCCGCGGCAAGGCTCGCCGGGCTCGCGCGGAGGAAGGCTCGGCTCCCGGGACCTGGCCGGCTGCGCGCCTGCCGCCCGCCCCCTCCACTGCCGCCGGCCCGGCCCGCCCGGCCCGGCCGGCCCCCGCGCCGCAGCTCGCGTCCCTCCGGCCCCGCTCAGCGACGCGCGCGGGGAGGCAGCGGCTCGGCCGGCTCCGGGGACGCCCGCGCGCTCGCTCGCTCGCGGCGCGGCGGAGCCAGCCACAGCCACCCGGCTCCGTGCTCCTCCGATGTCCTCATTTACTGCAATTGTCTTCGGCGAGATCTCGAGCCGGGGCCGGGAGGCGGGGGCGGAGAGGGGGAGGGAGCAGGAGGGAAGTCCTTGCAGCCGCTTCCCGGTCCCAGCTACTCCGCTGAGCCGGGCGGCCGGAGGAAAGGGCGCCCTGAGCCACGCGCCAGCCGCCTGTGCGCTCGGCTGGCACCGAGGCGGGCGGAGCCCGGGCCCGCGGGGCGGGGGCGGGGGCGGGGGCGGCGCGGGGCCGGGCAGGGCTGCGTGCGTGGGGTGGGCGATCGCGAGCGAGTGGAGGAGCCCCCTCCCGCGACGCCCGAGCCCGAGCCCGAGCCCGAGCTTCAGGAGGAGGAGGTGGAAGGAGCCGCCGGCGGCTGCCTCCTGCGCGCGGGGCTCCACCGTGGCGAGTCCTCGGGGTTTTTGGGCTGCAGGCGGCGCTGCGGGGCCCAGGAACTTGTTGAGTCTACCCCTGAGACGTCTCTGGAGCAGCTGGCGGTTAGGGGACTCCATATCTTCTCTCATGAGTGGTCTCCGGGGACCCTGCGCATTGGCTTCGGGCTATGCCAGAGGGCGCAGCCCAGCTGGGCTTTGAAAGCCAGAGGCACAGATTTGGGGAGGGGCTAGGCAACTGGCCTCTCTCACCTTCTCACTGTGCTTTGTGGATACTGGGGGTCAGAGTCACGTTTCTGTGCTGGGTCAACCTGGGGTTCCCTCCGAATGTAGATAGGAAGGCAGACCAGCCGCCTAGCAGCCTGAGGTCACAGTGGAAGTGCTGGCCTGGTCTGTTGCATGCTGACATTTAGGAAAAGTCCAAAACAGGCACCTAATTAGAACCCCCTACACACACACACACACACACACACACACCCCACACATACACACCTGCAGACGCCACTGGGTACATGCTCATCTGGGGCGAGTTCTCTTGGCAAGAGGAGATCTATCTAGTAGGATTCACAATGAATCACACTCCCCTCCCCCAAATGCCTCCCCCTCCAAAAATTACCAGAGTATTGGATCCTTTGAGCTCAGAACAACAGGCCCTGGGTCCTCCCTGATACCTGGAAGGTCTTGCTGCCTGGGACTAAGCCTCCAGGGGCTGCAGATTTCCTTACCCCTAAGTTTTCTCCCAGAACATACTTGAAATTAGCCACATTTGTTAGTCTGAATATTTCGGAGGAAAGAACAGAGTAATGGTGAACTGGAGAGCAGTGAGACTTTGGAGAGTGAATTGGAAAGACAAGTGGGAATTCTTCACACTGCACTTCCCACCTCCCAAACACTCAGTGTGCTCACACTTGTGCAGGACTTATAGATCCTGGGCCTGGGGCCAGGCCATCATTGCATTCTTGTCATTAAACTGCATTGAGCCTACACCTGGCTTTATATAATGTCTGTTCTTCGTTAAGGGCTTTATGTGAAATGTTTTATTTCTATGTGGATGTTTGGGGTGACATTACAGAAGACTATTCTAAAATGTCCTCCTTTCCCATCTTACTCTCAGTAGTTTTGGGGTTACAACTTCATGATCCAGATCTTCCCAGGAAGGGAGTCCCCAATCTGTGGTTCCAAACTCTGCCCACCACATTCTTTTTGATTCCCTTCTGACCTCAGATTCCCTCAAGTCTGATGTCAGCCCTACCAGGGAGGCTGTTGGAGGGATGTGTCTGGTAAGGTATGAACAGCCCGCAAGTCTATAGCTACCTCTGTTGTCAGGAAGGGAGCCACAAGGGAGTGATTTGATGTTGGGATCCTTTAACACCAGGTGGCAGGGGTTCCTTCTACTGACCCCTCCAACATGTTCCCCATGGGAAAGTGCTGTTTCAGCTGTGCACTCCAGGGATTCCAGGAGGGTCCGAGGAGCTTTTTGTAAACCTTGTTTTATTGTAAATCTACACAATGGAAATCTGCCTTTTATCTCTTAAACATGCCATTGTCAATAAAGCTTTCAGGAAACATGGAAATGGTTCTGGTGGTAATGGAAAGCTAAAGTTTTGAGGACCATGAGTGACAACAGATAAACATAAATGCAGGCAGAGGAGGGCAGTGCTCATTGAAAGTGCTCCATGAGCTGGTGAGGAAACCTTTGTAAGAAATATGCTGTTTGAGATCCCTGTGATATACACCTCTAGGAGGAAAATGAAATGCTGTGATTGGCAGGTTAAAAAATCCTCTTCTATGAAGATGAGAGTATAATTGCGCTTGACAGCCTCACCAAGACTGCTTTGAGTTGTTCAGTTGCCTCATAGACTTCAATTGCTTTTCCAAGTCTGTTAAAAACATTGGGATCCTTCCTTTAGTTGAAGTCAGAAACCATTTCCCTAATGTATTTCTCAAGTGCCAGTCTTCAGCATCACAAGTTAAAATATTGATGAAAGCTTGTCTTGCAGACCCTTGGCCAGGGACGGATGTTCTATGTGGGTGAGCTGGGTGTGCCCATCTTCCAAGCATACGTGTTGGGGCTACTGGGAGAAAGGAGATTGGCCACCTTCTTGCCCACAGACCCCCGTTGCGTTATTTTTTGTGTACAGAACATATGCATACTTTTAGGGTCTAAAGTCCTAAGAAAAAGAGGAGAATGATTGTAGATGGATTAATTTTAGGAATCAATTTAGTATAAGTTGGTTTCTTATATTTTGCTTCAGAATTTTGCCTCAAAAGATAGCCTTGCAAGGGGGAAATGAGCTGCTTTGCACGTGGGATTCTTGAAGGCAGAGGCACCTAGAGAAGGAAAATGAAGGAAGTGCAAGACAGCTAACTGGCCACTCTTTCAGGTTTCTCTTCTTTTGCCTTTTTCTTGGAAATGTGTGCATGTGTAATACCGAGCATCGGGGGAATTCCAAACCTCCTGAGTACTAGGTTTTGAGGTCTCTATTTCCACATTAAAAAAAAAAATAACCAAGAATATACAAGTCAAAGTGTTGAGGAATGTTCATAACAGCTTTTTATATTAGTTTTTCAAACTTATATTGGAGAATAGACTAAATATGTATCAAGAGTAGAATGGATAGAAATTACTTATTCATGCTGTGCAGTAGAAGCTAGCAGCAGTAAACACAAAGTCACAAGCTATGGAGGCCTGTGGCAGCAAGACGAAATCCACAAACACGCGGAACAGAGGAGTGAGCCACAAGGATATGCGTGACAGGAGTCACTTCACTGGAGTCCCAGAAAGGCCAGAGTTTGGGGCATGCTGACTTATAGGCCAGGGAATCTTCATGTTGCTGGATTGTTCTGCATCTTGAAGGAGGTGGTTGCCCAGTTGTGTACATAGATACCAGCTCATGACGGTGTCTTCTTGTCTCAATGACTCCATCTTGTCTGAGCATAGTCAGTGTGTCGTGTGATGTCTGCATGACTTCCTACTAATCCATCCCTTTAAAGGAATCATCAGTGAGCTTAACTGGTGTCTGCTGAAGCCACTTTCTCTCCAGGACCCCAGATGAGGGAAAGGAGAGGTGTCCACAGAGCCGCTGCTGCTGTGAGGAGAGTTCTTGTTTAACTGCACAGCAGAACATCCTTCCTGGGGAGGCTGCTGCTGAGCCCCTGCCCTCCTGATCATGCCCCCCAGGCTGCCATGTCACGTTCTGAAGACATGGCCTTGCCACCTCGCACTTTCATGTTCTTAAGTGATGCTAGACAGTGGGCAGGTGGCACCATCTGTTCAGAAGCTGTGGCCGTGTGTCTGCCTCACACACTCCCATACGGGGAGGTCACTCACATCCATGTGCATCTCAGGTGATATCAGTGACACCTAAAAGCTTCACTCTGTCCTAGATCAAGATGGTGCGCTCGGAGCGTCTCTGTCCAGGCCTCATCTTTGCGTGGGAGACCTGTGAGAAGCCCTGGAATCTCGCCCCTGTCATGCTGCGCTCAAGCCTCCACTGTCCACTTTCTGTACTGATTTTCCATTGAAGAGTGTCCCCTGGTGTGAAACCCCTGTCTGTGGCTCTTCCAGTGTCCTGCCAGCCAAGTCTCTTTTCCTTCCAGAAGGTCATGCAGCTGTGTCTGAGTGCTGGCCCACCCTCCTGGGGAGACGCTCGGCTCCTTACCATAGTCTTCTGTTCCCTCCATGACCAGAGACTAGAGCCTGCTTTTTGGTCCCAAACAGAGTTTGTTTGGGATAAACCAAGTACTGTGAAGACTGCTTGAAATCCCTCGTTTTCTGTACTGCACCATTGTGAATATGATTTTCTGTAGGAAATGGGACGTTTTCATTTTTAAAGGGAACAGAAATGTCTCTAGCTTTTCTTTCCTATGTCATACAGCAGCAGTGGTGGTCTATGAGGAAGGGCGGAGTGCAGGACATGAGCTGCTGCCCCTCGGGTGCAGGCTCTGATTCCCCAAAGGCAGCTTCCCCTCCTTCCCTTGGGTTGCTTCACCATGGAAATGACCATGCAGACCTTATTTCGTTGACCTTAATTTGGTCAGTCTGGGTGACGGTGTCTATAGGGTTTTCTTATTATCCAGGTCTAATCTAGGACCAGGCTTTTTCCAGCAGAGGTGGATGGCTAATGGGCTTTTCCTAATCCCTGCTGGTAACACGGTTCGTCTCCGCGGCTGCTGAAACCAGCTTCGCACAGAGCAGCTCATATGCCCAGACGAACAGTGATACCTTGGACCAGAGCTGGGTCAAGAGGGGATAAAAATTGCTTTCAGATTTCAGTGTCTGGCCTGCTAATCCACTTTGCTTGTGTGAAGACTGTTCCCTGCTGTCCCCTCTCTGGTTAGTCCCAGCACTTAGGAGGCCCCAGGTCAGCTCAGGGCTGCTGCAGGGAGGCCCTGGGCCTTCTCAC